CTCTATTACCCCCTTAAAGCAGTTTAGATTATGGCTCACATAGCCCCTACACATCCCCCTGAACCTCAAACCCAACACCCAAAACCCTAAGCTCCAAATCCTAAGCCCCAACGCCTAAACCCTAAACCTTTCAACCCTAAACCTTTAAAACCTAAACCCCCTAAACCCCCTGAATCTTGCTCAGTTTGAGGTAGCGGCCTGTCTTTGGGCTCCCACCGCTGAATCCACGTCCGCACCAGCTCCGAGATCTGGGGCGTGGAGGCCTTAGGATCTATAGCTAAAGGGACTCTACTGGGAACCCCAAACAGGGAACCCCAAGAATATAGGGTTTAGGGTTTAGGGTTTAGGAGGAATATAATGGAATACAAGGACCCTGGTAGGTACATTCCTATTATATTCCTGCTATATTCTTGGGGTTCCCTATTTGGGGTTCCCAGTAAGGTCCCTGTAATAGCAACAGGGCTTAGGGATGATATAGGGATCCCGTTATAGGGATTATATAGGGTTTAGGGTTTAGGGTTTGGGGGTAGGGGTTATATAGATCATATAGGGATCCCATTATAGGGGTTTGGCAACAGGTGAGATTAGGGGTTTAGGGGTTTGGATAATGGAAAAGAAGACGGAAACTACTATTTAGGGTTTAGGGTTTAGGGATGCTTAGGGTTTAGGGATTAGGGTTTAGGGTTCAGGATTTATAGGGTTTAGGGTTCATAGAATTCAGGGTTTAGGGTTTACACAATCTTACAACCCTAAATCCTAAACCCTGAACCCGAAATTCATAAGGGCCCTAAGTTCATGCCCCCGGGAAGACCTTCGCGGCCGCCGCCATCGGCTCGCTGCCCTCGCGGCGGCGGGGGGGACCTGGTCACAGCCAGGCTGGACTTCAGGGTTTAGGAATTTAGGGTTCCAAAAGTAGGGGTACCTTGAAAGGGTATACTGGGGGATAGTACAAGGATATATAGGGGTAATAATCAAAATCAAAAGTGTATATATATATATATCCATATATATTTTTTATGTACGAGATATATTCATATAGGGTTCAGCTTTCTCCAAAATTAATGGTACCTTCTTTGGGGGGCTACCTGTAACAAGGATTTAAACATTTTGGTGTCTGTATTGGGCTCCCCCTACTTTCGGAAGCCGCCACATGTTTCAATCTAAAGTTTGAGGGGGAAACGTTTAAAAAACTCTTACCCAAAAACCCTGCACCCTGAAGGGTTCTCGGGTTCGAATGTAGCCAAAACACTGAACCCCTAACCCCTAAACCCTAAAGCATGTTTTGTAGGCTTGAATTCAGACTTTAGGCGTGCTAGGATTTTAGGCCTTAGGTTTAAGGTTTACCGGTGGGTTTAAGTTTTTTTTGGTTTTTTGCTCGGACCTTTTTCCGACCAGCATGTAGTCCGAAAGCCTTCCGGCGAGGTCGCTGCAAGCCCCTCTTTGCCTGATTTAAAAACCCCATTCCCTCAGTTCGCTCACCTCCGAAAATACCACCTGTACTAGGCAAGCACTGCACTGTCTAGCATACGGAAATAGGGAACTCAAAACAGCAACCTGTCCCAGTCAAGGAAATCACGGTCACATCGCTCAGGCTTAGGGACTACCAAGTGCCGTAAAGAACCCGGACTGCGCACCGCCCTGACCTCAGTAGCACTCGTCACAGGAAGGATGCCGGCAGACGTTGTCTCCACATCTGCTATCTCCGGCGCCATCGTATGCACTTCCGTTTCCAACCCGTCATTCCCTTCAGCTCCACCCTCCTCAGCTGCAGTCCCTGCGTTCACTCTCATGTCCCCTCCGCCAGCCGCATTCGCACCTGCGTCATCTCGGTCTGCTGTCCCTTCACCATGATCTTCTCCCAGGTTTTCCAAGCCTTCACGCGCTGCATCAGCTGCCACAGCCATGCCTTCGTCCTCGTGAAAGAGCGTACTCACCGGATGACCCTGGCTCTCCGTAAATTCCGCCTCTACCGCCAGCGTCGCCGTGGGTTTAGGGTAGGGTTTAGGGGTTAGGGATGTTGAGTTTTTCACATGTATATGAGAGGTTTCTGGTATCTTCAAGGACAGCATACGATTCGGTGAAGGCCTCACAGGACTTAAGCGAAAGGCTAAACACCTACTATCCACCTTTATAACCCATGTACTACTCGCCTATATAACCCGTATACTACTCCGCTATATAGTTCCGCTGAGGAGTTTAGACTGTAGCCCACTAACTCTTTAGGGTAATGGTCTGCTAAGTCACTGAGCGAAGACTATCTGATTTGCATCTGCACTCTCTGACGGCCTGTCTCACGCTGCCGAACAGGAAACCCATTTAGAATTCCCTGGAAGGATAATGTCCTACATCAAGGGCCAATACTTCCCCCAGATACAAGTCCAACAACATCGGGATTGCTGTCAAGGAGCTACATTGATTTACAATAATGAGGAAAACCAGTTGTTTTACTATGTACCCATATTAAACCTGGGTTGCTGTTAAGGAGTCTTACATTAAGTAACAATAATGTGCAAACCCAACTATTTACTGTGTACTCATATTACGGTAATCTAGGCCCCAAATCCTAAACTTTGTGCACCCATATTGTGATAACCCTAGGCCCTAAACCCTGTATACCCATAGTATGGCAACTTCGAGCAACCCAGAAACATGTGAGCCCTTGTCTAAACTCC